GTTGGTTGTTGTTGGTTGTTGGTTTGTTGTTGGTTGGTTTGTTGTTGGTTGTTGGTTTGTTGTTGGTTGTTGGTTTGTTGTTGGTTGTTAGTTTGTTGTTGGTTTGTTGTTGGTTGTTAGTTTGTTGTTGGTTGGTTGTTGTTGTTTGTTGTTGGTTGGTTTGTTGTTGGTTGGTTTGTTGTTGGTTGTTGGTTTGTTGTTGGTTGGTTTGTTGTTGGTTGGTTTGTTGTTGGTTGGTTTGTTGTTGGTTGTTGGTTTGTTGTTGGTTGGTTTGTTGTTGGTTGGTTTGTTGTTGGTTGTTGGTTTGTTGTTGGTTGGTTTGTTGTTGGTTGTTGGTTGGTTTGTTGTTGGTTGTTGGTTTGTTGTTGGTTGGTTTGTTGGTTGGTTGATTGTTGGTTGGTTTGTTGTTTAACGCCGCAATATTCCAGCTATACATATCGGCGGTGTGTAAACAATCGAGGCCGGACCAGACAATCCAGTGATCAACAGCATGAGCATCAATCTACGCAATTGGGATACGATGGCATGTGTCAAACAAGTCAGCGAGTCTGACCACCGATCCCGTTAGTCGTCTCTTACGAAAGGCAAGGGCTGCTGAAGACCAATTTTAACCCGGATCTTCATGGGTTGTGCTTGGCAATGGGAGTTAAAATACGTTAACATATTGGTTAATTTTCCACACCCAGTGGATAATTGATTAGATCAGGAGATCTTCCTGATCTCCGCGAGTGAGAGATTAACCAACGTTATCGTGATTGCTGAGAACACCTGTGCACGTGAATTCCGTGCAGATATGTATAGAGCGTGAAGCGATTGTTGTCACGTGCAGCTGCAGGTGTTCTTACGTTAAAATATGGTACTTGTAGGTCCCTCCCTGGCGCTCAGCATTAATGGGTACAGCAAGGACTGGTCGACTCGGAGTCAGTATAATGTGTCTGAGTGGGGTATTCATGCTTCACCGCGGCATGGTATCTCAGTGGGCTAGCACTATAAAACCAGCTTCAGTCTGGGCTAGTACAAGCAGCCGCACATACACATACACACGCATGCACGTCGTCATATGAGCGAAATATTCTCAAGCACGACGTAAAACCCAATTTCACCTCACCTCACCTCTGATTATGTACCTGAGGCGTAAAATAACATTCATTCAACCGATCCCATCACTCAGACTGTGGGCGACTACAGCTGCCTGTTTTCGAGATGCATTCATCATTATTGACACTTCGTTGTTTACCGACAACTCCTGGGATGTAAATTTAATCTCTCAGCAGAGACGAATCGAACGGACAATTTGGTCTTCCCTTTTCCCAGTCAGAGACAGATTGATGACAAAAATTGTACAAGACCAGATTAATGTTGTTGTTTCAATACAACAAGCTAAAGACGTGTGGAAATAATGTGAGATTCTTATTTTTTGGATTGTATATTTTTTCGAAATTAGTGCAAGCATGATTTTGCATATTGTTAAAGAAATACAAGATATATTACAATATCATGTTTATGAATTCATTTCACATTTACGAAATCACTTTTAAGTACATTTAATTAAGATCGAGCCTTCAACAGTCCCAAAATAGACATCTGCCTGATCTCCGCGAGTGAGAGATTAATCGACGTTATCATGATTGCTGAGAACACCTGTGCACGTGAATTCCGTGCAGATATGTATAGAGCGTGAAGCGATTGTTGTCACGTGCAGCTGCAGGTGTTCTTTATCAGTGGCGTCAAAGGTTGCCATGGCGATTAATGTCAATAATGCTGTCTGCAGGAAGTCAGCCTTCCTAACAAGGTGAGAAATATTTTATCAAAATTAATTGTGTTCGGAAATCGTATGAACATCATTGATTTTTTTTCCCCTTCTCAATTGGCGTTATCGTAAAATATCTTATATCAGAGTGTAATTTTGAACGAAAAGTTGTAGCCTAATGTTTGCCATACTGAGGATCTCTAATTTCTAAAAGCTCATGGTATGTTTGGCAGCCCAGTGGATCAACCGTTCGCTCGCCACACCTAAGACCCGGATTCGATTCCTAATATGATTATAAGTGTGAGACCCATCTTTGGACTCTCCATCCTTGATATTACTGAGACAACACATTGATACAACACTTGGGGCGACGGGGTAGCCTAGTGGTTGAAGTGTTTGCTCGTCAATACTCGGCGAAGACCCGGGTTCGATTCTCGAAAAGGGTACAATGTGTGACACCCATTTCTGGTGTTCCTCGTCGTGATATTGCTGGAATATTGCTAAAAGCAGCCTGCAACTAAGCTCACTCACTCACAATCCCACCTACTCACTCACACATCCACTGAACTCACCCAACTCACCCACCCCCTCACTCACTCAAACTTCTCACCAACCCATCCATCTTCTCTCCCACCCACTCCCTCCATTCACTAACTCCCACTCACCACCACCCCTTCCACACGCCCCCCTTCCACACACACACACACACACACACACACACACACACACACACACACTCACTGACTGACTGACTGACTGACTGACTGACTGACTGACTGACTGACTGACTGACTGACTGACTGACTGACTGACTGACTGACTGACTCACTGACTGACTCACTCACTCACTCACTCACTCACTCACTCACTCACTCACTCTCACACACACACACAGATCAATCATGAATGTTATGTTCACGGAGATTTACAAATAATCATAAAACAAAACAACACAGCAATCACTTAAGTTGTACTGACAATTAGATCGTTTCAATGTCCACTCATCACTCGGCAGCATCACAGAACGGACGTGGAAGAAATTACTGTTTGCCCGACTTGTCCCACTATCCCATTAACGTGATGAAACACCCCACAGCAAGCCGCGATAATTAACCAAGTGAACATTGTCTCATACTTCTCGCTCTGATCTCCCCATGACTACCGCTCCCCACGTAAACCGAGACCTGTGGGTGGGCTGGGGGAGGGTCAGGCCATGGTTGTTTATCGTAAGCTCGAATGTTCGTGGGCGTTGGATGAAAAAGGGTGTTCGTCCATTTTCAGATTTCATATACAAAAGGGTTATATTAATCAACGTGTCAGTTTAGTTTTATGCCACTTTTAGCAATATTCCAGCAATATTCCAGCAATACCACAGCAAGGGACACCAGAAAAGGGCTTCACAAATTGTACCCATGTAGGGAATCGAACCGGTGTCTTGGGCGTGACGAGCGAACACTTTAACCACTAGGCTACCCCGCCCTCCTTATTAATCAACGAGATAGCAAGTGATATATACTCATGGAAACGAATAAGGGGACACGTGAAGGTACAAGTGTTCCTTTATTCTTTTCCAGAATTTTACCCACAGGTGGAGAAACCTGGAAAAGAATAAAGGAACACTTGTACTCTCATGTGTTCCCTTTTTCGCTTCCATGAGTATATGTGTATGTGTTCTGTAATTACGCACATATGGAGCTGACATTATGGAGTAGGTATCGTTGGTAAAGGAATATTTTATGTGGAAGGAATGTGAAGTGGTCCATGTTTGCGTAAGCGGAAGTATACCCGATGTAAGTGGAGGAAATAGACCCAATGTAAGTGGAGGAAATAGACCCAGTGTAAGTGGAGGAAATATACCCAATGTAAGTGGAGGAAATATGCCCAATGTAAGTGGAGGAAAGACCCAATGTAAGTGGAGGAAATAGACCCAATGTAAGTCGAGGAAATATGCCCAATGTAAGTGGAGGAAAGACCCAATGTAAGTGGAGGAAATAGACCTAATGTAAGTGGAGGAAATATGCCCAATGTAAGTGGAGGAAATAGACCCAATGTAAGTGGAGGAAAGACCCAATGTAAGTGGAGGAAATAGACCCAATGTAAGTGGAGGAAATAGACCCAATGTAAGTGGAGGAAATATGCCCAAATGTAAGTGGAGGAAATATGCCCAATGTAAGTGGAGGAGACAGTCAGGTTATCAATTTGCGACAGAGTGGAACCGACCTTGTATGATCGCATAGCATTTGTCAGATTGACCAATAGTCACTCACTGCCTTGACCACACATGGCGTATTGAAATCCGAATACCGCTGGGTTAATTGCTGTTGTTTATTGGAGTGGTCAGGCGATGGATCTGGACGCTGGAATGACCACCGGAAACTCGGTACTCTTTGTGGATTGGTCTGGGGATGAAGGGTGTGTTATCGATCTGTTTACATCGTATCCCATAACACATGGAGATAGACTGAATTATTGAAATGCTGTCAATTTGTAGCAGAATTGCCGTGTTGTGATCACAGCAGTTGTATTTAGTGATGTACGAGAATCTACTTCATACCGTCTAACAGTCATTCGGTCCTCTGATGGTGACAGTTTCTGCCCGAAATTAGAAACTATTCACAATTGTGAAACAAGATTAACACTACAGAAGACTTGTATTTTCAGGTGTTCCCTTATTTGTTTCCACGAGTATATGTATCCCTAACAATATAAAAACATGCATTTACAAATTCATCATCTTGCTAAGATCCCGATAATGACCACACGTGAGGCTGATAATCTATATAACATTATCTCACAAACTTCGTGCGGATGAGATTGCAATGACAGAGTGATCAAAGCTCCTCAGTTTACTGTGTCAGGATCCGGTGACTGTCGGTTCGAGTCCCGGGTCGAGTATGGCCGGGTCGAGTATGGCCATGGCGAGCCAGCACCACACCCGTCATCGTTGCTTCACTAACGTGGTGACATTTACAACTATTTTCACTTCGGCCATTTCGCCCAAATTAATGTAACGCGTGAGTTGTGTGAGTGAGTGAGTTGGGTTTTACGCCGGTTTTAACAATATTCCAGCAATATCACGTCGGGGGAAACCAGAAATAGGCTTCACACATTGTTACCATGTGGGGAACCGAACCCGGGTCTTCGGCGTGGGAAGCGAACGCTTTAACCACCAGGCTACCCCACAGCCCCTTGAGTACGTGAATGGTTAGGGGGTGAGTTTCGTGTAAACATTCACAATTAAACCACTCACCTATAGTTGGAACCATGCTCTCCCTGAATTCTCGCCCCACGAGATTGTTGATGAGAGCCGTCTTCCCGACAGATGTTTCCCCGACCACTAACACTTTATAAGAGGCAAGGCAGTCTTTTTCACCCAGGGGCATTATCCCGTTTTAATAAGCCTGTCTGTCAATCCTGGACCCCATCTGGAAAGAGGAGCGCAAGTGTGTCAGAAGGTGAGTACCGTTCATTATCTGAGTTCAACTAAGGAACCAAGTTCCCAGGGACGCTTCACCTGGCGGTGTTTGAACACTAATGAAGCAAGTTTTTTGTCTATGACCCGAGAGAATAAATTAAAAAAAGAACTCCGACTCAGGCACCCTTTTCACAAAGCGATCTCAGCGCTACGACTGTCGTTAGTCTATGTTGAAGCATGGGAGTTACGATCATCTCAGCGCTACGACTGTCGTTAGTCTATGTTGACGCATGGGAGCTACGATCATCTTAGCGCTACGACTGTCGTAAGTCTATGTTGAAGCATGGGAGTTACGATCATCTTAGCGCTACGACTGTCGTAAGTCTATGTTGAAGCATGGGAGTTACGATCAGCTTAGCGCTACGACTGTCGTAAGTCTATGTTGAAGCATGGGAGTTACGATGATCTTAGCGCTACGACTGTCGTAAGTCTATGTTGAAGCATGAGAGTTACGATGATCTTAGCGCTACGACTGTCGTAAGTCTATGTTGAAGCATGGGAGTTACGATCATCTTAGCGCTACGACTGTCGTAAGTCTATGTTGAAGCATGGGAGTTACGATCATCTTAGCGCTACGACTGTCGTAAGTCTATGTTGAAGCATGGGAGTTACGATCATCTTAGCGCTACGACTGTCGTAAGTCTATGTTGAAGCATGGGAGTTACGATCATCTTAGCGCTACGACTGTCGTAAGTCTATGTTGAATCATGGGAGTTACGATCATCTTAGCCCTACGACTGTCGCAAGTCTATGTTGAAGCATGAGATTTACGATCAACTTAGCGCTACGATCGCTTAGAGGGACGGGGAACAGGTCAAGATGGCGCTCAGCTCTGAACTAAAGATTTACCCATTTTCGATATTATCTATTTTTATACACATTTTGAAATGGTTTGTTTGTTTCTTGTTCAGCAATATTCCAGCTACATGGTGACGGTCTGTAAATAATAGATAGAGACTGGACCAGACAATTCAGTGATCAACAGCATGAACATCGATGTACGCAAATGGGATGCGATGACCTGTTTAATCTTCTCGGGTCCACTTTGAAATAAGAACAATTAGTAAATGTAAATACAAGTAAGTGCTAACGAATACCCAGTAAAGAATAGCATCTGTAACATATTTCCTGTGTTGTAAAGGATAAATAACTGTGTAAATTATACAATTTTATCATTCTCTGCAATGAAAAGAAAATAAGACGTCCAAGAAAAGGAATGGTGTGAATCTGAACATGCTAGTGAGTGAGTGAGTTTAGTTTTACGCCGCTTTTCGCAATATTCCCGCATTATCACGGCGGGAGACACCAGAAATTGGCTTCAAACATTGAACCCATGTGGGGAATCGAACCCGAGTCTTTGCCAAAGCTTTAACCACTAGGCTAATCCACGGCCCCTGAAAATACTAAGAACATGATTGTTTCTTTCGCCTTTGAGTATACTGTGTACACGAGCAGGCTGGCGTCAGTTGTCTGGTTCCATATGGTTTTATAGAGTTCCCTGTTCATGTACTGTTTATGTGCTTGAATTAACGGTGAGTGAGTTTAATGTTACGCCGCTATGAAATATGTATCAGTAATGAGGCTGGGTGTATTAACAGACCGTCGCTATAAAACGTGGTTGAAGCGTTCGCTCGTCACGCCGAAGACCCGGGTTCGACTCCCAATATGGGTACAATGTGTGAAGCCTATTTCTGGCGTCCCCTGCAGTGTTTTGCTGAATATTTGGTGAAAGCGGCGTAAAACTAAACTCACTCACTATTCACATGAACGCACTTAAAACCTGTGATATTACTGAAACATGTTTCAAACGAAACATTAACACTTAAATCATGTGAAGGTCGCGGGTTCGATCCCCGACTGCGTCATACCAAAAGACGTTAAAATATGGTACTTGTTGGTCCCTGCCTGGCGCTCGGCATTAATGGGCACAACAAGGACTTGTCGGCTCGGAGTCAGTATAATGTGTCTGAGTGGGGTATTCATGCTTCACTGCGGCATGGTATCTCAGTGGGCTAGCACTATAAAACCAGCCTAAGTCTGGGCTAGTACAAGCAGCCGCACATACACATACACACGCATGAACGTCGTCATATGAGCGAAATATTCTCAAGCACGACGTTAAACCCAATTTCACCTCACACCTCACTTAAATCATGTGATCAAATTGGAACACTATAGAAGAGACACAGTACAACTGAAACCTTTGCGGAAGTACCCTACTTTGTTTTGAAATTAGGGATGGTATAACGGATTAATTTAACAGTTTATTTTATTAAATTTGATTCAAAACAAGGCAGCGTAATGTTTTAGATGTGAAATGTAGAACTATTGACAGTATTGTATCCATCATACTACCTCTAATAACTTTTCAAACGACAAAAAACAATAAAATCACGCGATATCATTAAAAAACTATTAAACCGACACTTTATCACGTGATGTTACTATTAAAACCATCTACATCATCACTCGGCTCTGTGACGTAACAACGTAGTCGTACCTGCAACATCTACTGCCTTTCCTGCCGCCGCCTGTGTTGAATATCCATCCCAAAGAACAATTTTCTTGACCAGCCACAATCTATTAAATACACCGACAGCAAAACACAAGAAACTGAAACACAGTTCAATCCAAAACTGCACAATCCCACTGCGTGCTCATGGTAAATCCAAACATCCCTTCCCAAATCCCATCGCAGGTCTGAAAGAAAACGGCCTGATGAGCCACAGTGTTGCTACTGTTTAGCTTATCGCGAGATGAATGAATGTTTGGAAGATTAACAGCGCCTTCTGGTCACGTGACTCGCAGAACGCCGATAAACATGCTGCGCTGCCAAGGAGAATGTTAGCGATTTGAATGGGGCGAAGTGGTTCGCCATTCCACACACGTTAAGCTTTGTTTAGAGCCGGACTCTGTATCTCGAACGAGTATTTCCGCTTAGTACTGAGTAAGCTAATATGAAGGATCCGATATTGTTTTATGCCGCATCGGACACATCGAACAAGGTATTCTGAATAACAAAGTGCATCAGTTGTCATCCAAGCCTCGCTGGAACATTGCGCCGTCCCCAGCATAATGTAGCTACATCGCTAGCTGACGAGGCAACACAATGACCATCGCTTCTTTAGGAAGAGTGACTGAGTGAGTTTGGTTTTACGCCGCTTTTAGCAGTATTTCAGCATTATCACGGCAGGGGACACCAGAAATTGGCTTCACACATTGAAGGGAATCGAACCCGGGCCTTCGGCGTGACGAGCGAACGCTTTAACCACTAGCCTACCCCATCGCCCCGCTTAATGTGACTACTTCGCTAATTGATGAGGGTATACAATGACTCACCGCTCCTTTAGGATGTACCTCGTGGAGATTCTGAGGACACATAGTACCCCACTGACCAGTGTGAGTGAGTATACTTTTACGCCGCCCTCTATCAACATTCCAGTATTATCACGGCGGAAGACACCGGGAAAGGCCGGGTTCACACAGAATACCCATGCGGGGAATCGAACAAAGGTCTTAGGTGTGACGAGCGAACGCTTTACCCATTTAGCTATCCTACCGTCTGGAGACTCGGCTCCTGTGACGTGGATCTCTACTCATCATTTCCAGTCACTGGCTTGTCTGGTCCTCGGTAATCCACAGACTGGATAATCATACATATAACTGGTATATACGGATTGCGTCATGAAACTGCATTCATTCTACATTATTCGCTTTATGTTTCACATCTTTAAAATATGAACTGTTTGTTTCCAAATTTCATACAAATCTATCACAAAAAGAAAATAGTAAGCTAAAATAATAAATTATTAAATAGGCAGAAAAATGTTTAAATAAATATTGACGAAAAGCATCAGTGAAATCAAACCGTTTACTAGAAGCAAAGAGCTGTGGGCGGAGCCTCTTTTGTTGCAATAAATATGAACCCTTATCGTGTTCACAATAAATCATTGTTGCTAATTGTTTGCAGCGTTAAAACAAAACCTTGTACAGATTGTTTCTGGACGAGTAATTGGTTAATTAAAGGAGAGAATGGCCCACTGACACGTACAGGTGTACAGGTGCAAAGGTCAGAGTTCATTTGACCTAAGTATCCTACTATACAAACTCGAGGTAAACACAGCTGACATTTGAGCGGGTCTGCGTGACGTCATTGAGACGTGAAGGTGGGAACAGGTTCTCTCCAGGCACGGTTTTCAAAACGGTGTGGGTCCGAGTATAAATATGTATGTGACTGAGGTTAGCACATTTCTGGTTTCCAGGATTTAATGTATTCGACCAGAAAGAAGCCCGGTTTATCCATCTAAATTAGGGAAGCATCCACAGTATCTACCACAATGACCATCGCAGCGGTTACCACAATGGCTACCACAATAGCTACCACAATGGTTACCAATGGCTACCACCATGACTATCGCAGCGGTTACTTCAGTGGCTACCACAATGGTTACCAATGGCTACCACAATGACTATCGCAGCGGTTACCACAATGGCTACCACAATAGCTACCACAATGGGTACAAATGGCTACCACAATGACCATCGCAGCGGTTACCACAATAGCTACCACAATGGTTACCAAAGGCTACCACAATGACCATCGCAGCGTTACCACAGTGGCTACCACAATAGCTACCACAATGGTTACCAATGGCTACCATAATAGTTACCAATAGCTACCACAATAGCTACCACAATGGTTACCAATGGCTACCATAACAGTTACCAATAGCTACCACAATAGCTACCACAATGGCTACCAATGGCTACCACAATGACTAACAAGCGGTTACCACAGTGGCTACCACAATAGTTACCACAATGGTTACCAATGACTATCGCAGCGGTTACCACAATGGCTACCACAATAGCTATCACAGTGGCTACCACAATGGCTACCAATGGCTACCACAATGACTATCGCAGCGGTTACCACAGTGACTACCACAATAGCTACCACAATGGTTACCAATGGCTACCATAAAAGTTACCAAAAGCTACCTCAATGGCTACCACAATGGCTATCATGGTGGATACAACAGTGGCTACCACAATGGTTAATGCGGTGGATACAACAGTGGCTACCACAATGGCTATCACGGTGGATACAACAGTGTTTACCACAATGGCTATCACGGTGGATACAACAGTGGCTACCACAATGGCTATCACGGTGGATACAACAGTGGCTACCACAATGGCTATTACAGTGGATACAACAGTGGCTACCACAATGGCTATTACGGTGGATACAACAGTGGCTACCACAAAGGCTATCGTGGTGGATACAACAGTGGCTATCACAATAGCTATCACGGGTGGATACAACAGTGACTACCACAATGGCTATCGCGGTGGATACAACAGTGGCTACCACAATGGCTATCGCAGTGGATACAACAGTGGCTACCACAATGGCTGTCACGGTGGATACAACAATGGCTATCGTGGTGGATACAACATTGGCTACCACAATGGCAATCACGGTGGATACAGCAGTGGCTACAACAATGGCTATCGTGGTGGATACAACATTGGCTACCACAATGGCTATCATGGTGGATACAACAGTAGCTACCACAATGGTTATCGCGGTGGATACAACAGTGGTTACTGCAATGGCTATCGTGGTGGATACAACAGTGGCTACCACATGGCTATCACGGTGGATACAACTGTGGCTACCACAATGGTTATCGCGGTGGATACAACAGTGGTTACCACAATGGCTGTCACGGGTGGATACAACAGTGGATACCACAATAGCTACCACAATGGTTAACACATCGAAGTGGATACCACAATGGATACAAGTCAGCCTTAAATACTGCTGTGTCGTTTTAAGGCCCGTGCGTAGATACTTCGAGATATCCGAAGTACAACCCGAAGAATAGAAGAATAAACTAAGAGTAAGAAGGAATCAAGCTTTAACTTTGTAAGGAGAGTTAGTTCGACACATTGATGTTCGACACATCGATCTTTGACAGCAAAATGTAATACACTGACGTACAAAAAGAAAGTACACACCTGGTGTTTTGGGATTATTTGAAAAGTGTGGTGATTTTGACTGGCAACTTCGCAATTGGGCACGATATCTGTGGTGTTTTGGCAACATATTAGGAGTGAGTGAGTGAGTTTAGTTTTACGCCGCACTCAGCAATATTCCAGCTATATGGCGGCGGTCTGTAAATAATCGAGTCTGGACCAGACAATCCAGTGATCAACAGCATGAGCATCGATCTGCGCAATTGGGAACCGATGACATGTGTCAACCAAGTCAGCGAAACTGACCACCCGATCCCGTTAGTCGCCTCTTACGACAAGATAGTCGCCTTTTTTATGGCAAGCACATGGGTTGCTGAAGACCTATTCTACCCCGGATCTTCACGGGTCGCAACATATTAGGAAATTCTGTGACTTATATATCACTATAAAAATTCTTTTCAAAACATTTACGTTGCTCTTTGGAAACCTTAAGACAATAAAGCGAGTCATATCTTGTATATTTTGTTCATCTTTTCATCTTCAATAAACTATGGTTATAACGAAATCAAATGGATCACTAATTTTAGTTCGTCATAACCGAAGTTCACTATACGCATTTAGACTTAAATATACAGCTAGTCACTTGGGTTTAGATTGTTGAAGCTCTGTTAGCGCTAAGGTAGTCTTAAGTTAATGATAATGTATAGCACTTACGACTGTCTAAGTGCTAAGAGAGCTTCTAAAATCTAGGCCCAGGTTTGGCCAGTTTGTTCTATCTGACAGGGTGCCTTTATACAAAGCGACCTTAGCGCTAAGGTGACCGTAACTCCCACATCTTAACATAGACTTAAGGTAGTCTTAGCACTAAGGTGACCGTAACTCCCACACCTGAACAAAGACTTAAGGTAGTCTTAGCGCTAAGGTGACAGTTACTCCCATAACCTAACACATACTTAAGGTAGTCGTAGCGCTAAGGTGACCGTAACTCCCATACCTCAACATAGACTTAAGGTAGTCCTAGCGCTAAGGTGATCGTAACTTCCATACCTTAACAGAGAATTGAGGTAGTCCTAGCGTTTAGGTGACAGTAACTCCCACACCCTAACATAGACTTAAGGTAGTCGTAGCGCTAAAGTTCTTTTGTACAACGGCACCCAGTTCTTTAAAGGCATATTCGTTATAATTGCAGTATCCCGTAACAGTTTCTTTTTCCTAGCCGCACTCAGCAATATTCCAGCTATGCGATCTGTAGAGAAAGACAACGAGCAAGGAATCGAGATTGGCCAATCTAGTCCACAGAGAGTCTCAACACTACGACATTGTATTAAGTATTCACCAAGACAGGCAAGTACTGAATATAAACAGCGTATGTGTATAATCAGCAGACAACTTTGCCACTGAGCTGACAAAGCATTTTGTATTTTTTCTCGTACCACACGCAGGGCAATCCATCAATAATATCCCCATGCTGTAGGCGGCTGTCTGCTTAAATTGTAAATTGTGGGCGATCTAGGGAGATTCGTGACTTTTTATGGTGCTTTAGTCTAATTTTAGGAAACTACCGACTATAAAGCTAACAGCAAGTTATGTCAAGAGTATGATAAATTTTTAAAAATGCAATACTTATAGATAGCGTGGTCGCAAAACGAGTAGGGCTGCACGGTATTAACGGTATACCGGTATACCGCAATACGCTTTTCAAACGATACGTATTGCAATATTTTTTTCTGGTGAGTGAGTGAGTTAATATTTTAAGTCACATCGGCAATATTTCAGCCATATCGTGACTAAAGCAAGTTATAAATATATCGACAATTTAAGTGAAATTATAAAATTCTGCCGACGAAGGACAGTAAAATAACTAGATTATCACAGATATAGATATAAAACTAGTAACAAAAATCTAAAACATTTGAACTATACAAGACGATACAATATAAAAAACAGGCTATTGATCGCCAACAACTGAAGGTAGATCACCATACTAGGGACCATGGGGACTTACAGTACATTTGCTTCCTGCATGGACCCTAGCTGGATTTACACCATCCCTTCAGCCATTGGCGACAGAAGAGAAACCCAGCCATAAATTAAAAGTACACATATTCTACGATTAAAAAACCTGGTACACTTAAATTGACTAAATGTTTTGGGACTTATGTACCCTCTCAGGAGGACAATAATTTTACGCTGCTTCAACCCCCTTTGAGGGTACAGCCACTAACAATATCAGTTACTAATTTAAACTACCAATAATAAAATATATATCTATTTACAAATCAGTTAGCAAATCTAATTTTTTTAAAAAGGCAATAATTAAATGAGAACTTATATGACTAAAAAGATCCTTCATAGTTTTTTACTTTGAAATAAATATCCCTTGTGATGGAATATTCAACACAGTCAAGCAGGACATGCTTGACCGTGATTCTTTCATCACAAGGGATACAAAACGGAGGATCCTCACCTTTTAATAGGTACTCATGAGTATATCTAGTGTGGCCAATACGACATCGTCGTATGATGACCTCTTCAAATCTGGACTGACAACCCAAGTAGGTGTAACCAATATAGGGTTTTATTTCATGTAACTTATTTACACCTACTTGGGTGTCCCACTTCTTCTGCATCAGATCACGGATGTAGGTTCTAATGCTTGCTTTGTAATCAGAGTAAGGAATAAGAAGTGGTGTCACAGATTTGTTGAGTGCTGCCTTAGCAGCAATATCAGCCATTGTGTTCCCAGAAATGCCAACGTGGCTGGGTAACCAACAGAGGACGATGTCGCATTGGCCAGTTGCAAGATCATTAGATAATTCTATAATTTCTATTAAAAGTGGATGTTTACAAGAAATATTTTTAATCGCCTGAAGGCAAGACAGAGAGTCAGAAAAGATTATGTATTGTTTATATTTAGGGTGTCTATTTATATATTTGAGAGCTGTTAGGATTGCGTTTGCTTCAGCTGTGAAAATGGAACTGTCAGTGGGTAATCTGGAAGAGATTGTTTTGGACCCAATGACAGTGGCACATGCCACTGCGCCACCATCCTTGGACCCATCTGTAAATAAGGATTTGTATGTAGTATATTTATTTCTTAATTGACTAAATTCTTGTTTATACTGTAATTCATTTGTTTCTGATTTTTTAAATGTAGTTAATGTTAGGTCAACTTGTGGCCTAACCAATTGCCAAGGCGGAGAAGAAAGAAGACGGGAAGGAGCTATATTTTCCAGCTCAATGCCGGCAGCAGAAAGAAATGGTTTAATTCTTAAACCAAGAGGCGGAACAAGAGAAGGCTTTTTTGTTGTACAACTCCTCATAAGAAGGATTGAAAACACAGTTAAATGCAGGATTAGACTCGTTAGAATAGAGTTTTGTTATATACTGTAAAGAGAGTTTGATACGACGTTGGGTAAGGGATGGCTCATCAGCCTCAACATAGAGACTATCAATAGGAGAAGTTCTAAAAGACCCAAGACAAAGTCTCAGACCTTGATGGTGGACTGAATCTAAGAGTTTTAAGTTGCTTTTACAGGCTCCACCATATACGATGGAGCCATAATCAAGCTTCGAGCGGACAAGTGATCTGTAAAGGTGTAGGAGCGTAGTTTGATCCCCTCCCCACCTTGAATTAGACACGACTTTCAATAAATCGAGTGCCTTCAGGCATTTAGTTTTTAGGGATTTAATATGCGGAAGAAAGGTTAAATGGGAGTCGAAAATCAGACCCAAGAATTTGGCCTCTTTGACAACCTTGATGGGAGTGCCATTTAAAAACAGTTCTGGGTCTTTATGAGGCTTATATTTTCTACAGAAGTGTAGACAATTTGTTTTTTGATTTAGAAAATTTAAAGCCGTTTTCAAGACACCATTTATTTATTTTATTTAAACACAACTGCAGTTGGCGTTCAATAGTATGCATATTCTTACCGCGACAAGAAATGTTAAAATCATCCACAAAAAGTGATCCATCAATGGAATCGTTTAAAACCGTTGATAAACTGTTGATCTTAATGCTGAATAAAGTGACAGACAAAATACTGCCTTGTGGGACACCCTGATCCTGATTGTAATGGTCAGACAGGGTTGAACCCACTCGGACTTGAAATTGCCTGTCTTTTAAAAACTGTGATATAAAAAGAGGTAAACGACCCCTTAAACCAAAATCATGTAAATCCTTTAAAATGCCATGCTTCCAGGTTGTATCGTACGCTTTCTCGAGATCAAAGAACAGCGATACTGCATGTTGTTTATTAACTATTGCATTTTTGACAAAGGATTCTAATCGTACCAAATGATCAATGGTACTACGATTTTTCCTGAAACCACATTGAATATTTGTTATGAGATTATTGGTTTCAAGATACCATGTTAATCGATTATTTACTATTCGTTCCATGGTTTTACACACACAACTCGTTAAAGAGATTGGTCTGTAATTAGACGGATCAGTATGATCCCGGCCAGGCTTTGGTATAGGGACTACTATGGCTTTACGCCACGAAGTTGGGAAATTCCCTGAAGTCCATATTTGATCAAAAATTCCTAAAAGGATTTCCAAACATGATTCAGGTAAATGTTTCAAGAGCTGATAGTGAATGTTATCAGCTCCTGTTGCTGTATCATGAGCTTGCTCAAGGGCGGTATGGAGCTCATGTAACGAAAATAGTTCGTTATAATCTTCACCATTGTCAGAGTTAAAATTTATTCTTTTCTTCTCCTGTTGTTTCTGATACTTTTGGAACTCAGGGACATAATTTGATGAAGATGAATGCTTTGCAAGAGTTTCACCAA